GAAGGAGGAAGGAAGGAAGGCAGGGAAGAGAAAAAGGAAAGAATAAACTCTAAAGCAAAAAGCAGTAAAAGAAACTAAGTAGAGAGATTTAACTTTAGTGAAAGGCACAACACTCCCAAGAAACTGGAAGCTAAGCGATGACAAAGACGAACAGTTTTGCACCTCATTACAGAGCTTGAAAAAAATGTGAGGCCAAGAAAGATAAGAGACAAAAGAGCCAGTGATCAAAACAGGTCAGTGGTCATGTACCACAGAGGCTTTAACCCCGAAAGACAGTTGATCAAACGAGAGAGCTGAGGCAGGGTAGACGGCGATACCACCCTAAGCTCAGGGGATGGAAGGTCTTACACCACAACAATACTGGAAGCAAATGGTTTAATAAAAAAAAAAAGATATCTATCTATCTATCTATATCTAGATATATTTTTTTTAGGTTCCTTTTTTTTTAAATTAATTTTATTGGTACACTTAGGGTATACAATATGATGATATTCATCATTAGAAATTTGCACCTTTACATAATCCATCTTGGTTCTTATTTCAAATTGTTAAAATATTAATAGGGATTGTTCTGCAGTGTAAGACTACATGTATTCTTTCTTTCTCCTTTTCTGTATGTTTTTCATAATGAACATTTACTTTTATAACAGAAAGGAAGCTCCCGTCCAGAGACAATGGAGAGCTCCACCACTGTGCCGAATAGGGCATTCCGTGGTGCAGCTCGCAGGCCCAGTGGCTATGCACCCTGCAGAGCCGGAGAGGTGGAGCCGGGTAAGTGGTGGCCCACTGGGCACTCGCCTTCCCCCCTGCACACCAGAGGAGTAAGGGCCAGCCCCTCGCGGAACTGGGCCAGGCCTCCTCTCCAGCAGGCCAGGGAGGGGATTTATAGGCCCAGAGGGATGTGGACATCTGTGCTTCAGTCTACCAATGGTGCTAACCTTCCTGGCGAGAAGCAGACAGAGTCCCAGTCCACAAATGCCGCCTTTGTGCTGAGGCCTAAGCCCCTCAGCCCATACACACTGGGAGGCAAGAGAGAACAAATCCTACAGTGTCTCGCTGCAAGGACCGCTCACATTTGTGACTGGGCTTTTAATCCTTTTTCGGGAGAGGCTGCCAGCCCAGAGCACTCTTAACATCCTCCTGAGCTAACTGTGGTTGCCTACTGAGCCAGCGCAAGAGCTGCTGAGTGCTCCAGTATTGATAAAAGCATCACATTTGAGCCTAAGTCATCTCTCACCCTAATATTAGAGCAACACAACCTGAGAGACATCACTGGATATCCAAAGCGATCCATCCACCTCCAAGGTGCCAGAGGCAGGGAAAAGGCACAAGGCAACAGAACATCAAGCTGCTCCACGACAGCCTCAAGTCACTTTTCGAACAGCACAGGCATAAACACACACATACAGGTAAGGACAAACGGTGACAGAGAATCTTGGGCAACCGACACTTTCCTCTTTCCCTCCTCCTCTGCTATTAGAAATGGAGACCTAGAGGAACTGGGAAAGGAGGTGAAGCTGGTTCATGAGAGCTCTCTGGAGTTTGCTTGCCTTTAATCCTCTCTGCTCCCCAGGCTACATTAGCACCCTCTGCCAGTCTAGCTGGCGAGGGCACAGTAAAGTCAAAAGGCAAGGTGGAAACAATGCTGTAGAACTTGCACTACAGGCCAAACTTACAGGAAGCTATCTGGGGGCAAGCTAGTACTCCCCAGGCTTCGAAGATCACGCACAAACATGCTGCATATAACCACCTCAGGGGAATGTCTCTATTCAAAATTCTTTTTGTATACATATGCATCACCATTACGAATAACTTGTCTATTTCCGCAGCTTGTTTCTGTCCCGAATATGTAACCTGGAGTTAGATATTTATCATGATATTAAAAATGTAATCTGAAAAATTATTTCGAAGAAACAAAACAAAACAAAGAACCTCTTTGAGGCTTTGGAAACCAATTTCCACATGTCAGTCCCTCCTTTGGGACTAGTTTTCTCATCCTTGCATGGTCTCAGTACGTGGGATTTCAGATATGGCTTGATTTCTTTATGTCTCTAGGTCAATGCAAATTTTCAAGGTGATCAAATATCTCCCACAGTGTTTCCTGTGCAAGATCCTCAGGCACAGAAGAAAAGAAATAAAGATTGTCTGGAAAGCCAAAAGAAAGACCAAGAAGCTTAAGAATGGAGGATCTCAAAGCAATATGCCGTCAGGGCTGGGCTGCAGTGGGAGACCCAGGTGGCACTATTCCCAGCAGCACAAACTCAAAAGTCCACCGGCCAGGCAAGGCAATGACAGTGAGCAAGAGGACAAGTGCTACAAGGACAACTGGGAGAGAGAGGGACATGTACAGGTGACAGCTGGCTAGCTACTCAGGTCCAACTCATTCCTGTCACACAGAAACCTAGGCGCAGCCTGGTCATGAGTCTACCAGGAGGCAACTTTATCTAGAACAGGGTGACAGGAGGGCAGGAAGAAGAGCATGTTGCATAAGGAAGGAGAAACAATGGGAGAAACTGGCAGTAATATGGGAGTCCCATCATCATGGAAAGAAATAGCTATGAAGTAAACTTGAACAACAGCTACTAGCAAAGAGAGGAAAGGGTCAAATTCAGTAGACTACAGAGTAGAGCTGAAGAATTTATAAATAGCAGAACTCAGTGAAAGACCAGATGTGCAGGACTCAGGTGGTGACGAATCTTCCAGGGAAGCCTACAGTGAATTATTCAGAAGGTGAAGGCCTGGAAGGACTGGCCAGGAGGGACGCAGGAAAACACATCCTTCTTCACTAGCTTTGCAGGGCTGCATCTGTCTCCTCAAGATGACTTTATTTTTTTTCTCTTGTGTTCCTCACAAGAGATCAGGCGATAGCCAGGGCTTAGAGGCCCAAGCGCTGCAAGAAACAGTCAAACCTATAACTGATTGAGTGCTGAGGTATTCAAGCAGGGCAAGCGCTTGCCGAGTTAATGAGGAATGGGCAGGGAAGGGGAAGAGAACTGCTGAGGGACGGCACCTGCAGGAAAGCGGTGGGGACGCTGGGGCTCTGTGCAGTCACGGGGTGTGGACGCTGTGAGAAAGCAGGGATAGAAAGCGCTGAGCGAGAACTGCAGACCCTTATCAAGTTGTCGATTTTCATGGTGTAAGCCAAGTGCTGGGTTCTCGTCCACAATTTTCTTAAGGATTCAGAAACAGGGATAAAAATACTGCCATGCAAAAGTACTCATGGCAAATTAGAAAAGGCAGACTCTACCATATTGAACACTTTTCATGGCATGACTTTTGTGGGCTTGTCTTAATCTCAGCTTTTATTTTACAAGAAAACTTACTAGATTTTTTTATGAAAGCCATTCTTTCTAGGCTAAGATGGTATCTCACTGTAGTCCTAATTTGCATTTCCCTAATGGCCAATAATATTGAGCATTTCATTGTGTATTTATTGCCATTTGTACTTCTTCTGAAATTTCTATTCATTTTGGTGCCCTTTTTTCCTTTGTTCTGTTTCGCTTCATTTTAGTTTTTTTGGGGGGCAGCACTGAGGATGGAACTCAGAACCCTGCACTAAATCCCCGCCCTTCCCCATGTTTTGATGTTAAGTGAAATAAGCCAGACACAAGAGCTTGAATGCATGGTATCTCTTACATGAGAAACAAAAATATATATACATGTACAAATAAAGAGCAAAATAGGGCCGGGGATTTAGCTCAGCGGTTCGGTGGCCTGCCTTGCAAGCTCAAGGACCGGAGTTCAATCCTCGGTACCAAAAAAAAAAAAGAAAGAGCAAAATGGAAGTGAGATAAATAGGCAGTCTGAAGAAGTTCAATTACTTCCCAAAATTACATAACTTTGTTATTTCAAAAATATTTTAATATATATGCTAATTTGTTTCATTTATACTACTTGTTTATCCTAGATTAATGAAAAGAAAGTTATTACTTATTTGCTTCTTTTTTAGTAAGATTCTTTTTGGTTTATGACTTGTACTGAGTGACTACTTTGAAGATAACAATACAGTGCACTATTGCGTATTCTCTTACTTTTGCTGTGAAAATTTTCATAAAAAAAGAAAAAAAGACAGACTTCATTAGGAGTTTAAGAACTAAAAACACTTATTAACTAAGAAATTACTACAGCAGCCAGTATTTATTAACCTACTCAATTGTAAGTTTATGGATGGCTAATTGAAGGCCACCATTTAAAGGCATTACCTCACGTATCTGTATAATGATTCTACAAAGGAGCTGGTGGGTGATACCGTGACAAAGTTACTCTTAAGAAATAAAAGCAAGATCTGGAGATGTTAAATCACCAGCCAAAGGTGATAGTCCTCGAGCGAGAGAGCTAAGGTCAGAGCTAAGGCACCAGCGCCCTTTCTGTAAAGGGTCAGATAAGGAAATACTTTTGGCTTCCTGGGCAATATGGTCTGTGTCACAACTACTCAATTCTGCCACTGTGGTGCAAAAGCATCCACAGACCATATATAAACAGAGGGGTGAGGCCGTATTCCAATAAAACTTTACTTGTAGTGACATCTGAATTTCATATGGTTTTCACAAATGAAGAAATTTCTTTTCATCCTACCCCCAAACACTGAAAACAGCAAGGACCATTCTTAGCTCTTGGGCACAAAAAACCAGGCAGCAGGCCGGATTCTTCACACACTGCAGTATTCTGCACCGGTGGAAGCTGCCAGCCTCTGCTGTCGGCTCGCCCACATCACCTGGGGGTTCCCTCAGGGGCCCAGGCACATTTTGGGAAGGTGTGCAAGGACAAATCTGGATGGGCACACAACTTAGGAGGGGAAACCCACAGAAACTGCCCCAAGTTTGCCTCACAAGGGGGCAACTTGAACAGGTTTTCTTTTTTGGCCTCCCTTGTGCTCTTCTCTTGAAATAAGTACTGATTTAGGTCGATATGAAACCGGAGGAAAATCTGCATAGGGCAAGGCTGTCTTATCCCACACCAAGAAGTTTTTGGCAACCATGGGCCCACCGTACCCTTCTTACCTGCAGGGTTTGGCTGAAGCGCTTTAAAGGCGTAGCCTTCACAGGCGGGATGAGGTTGGCTAGCGACGTGACTCTGGAGAGGGGTTTGACCCGTTTATTACTAGGTTCCTGCAGGGTTAAACAAAAAGAAAGAAAAATATTACGGTCAATTCCGAAGACAACCAAACACTACCACACAGTCAGAACTAGGAGCTGCGTGTCCACGTGAGGAAGGAAAACAGTGCCCATTTACCCGCCAGCTCCTGAGAGATGCCTGGGTGCAGAAGGCAGGGAAGGACAAACGACAAGGGAAGTCAGCGAAGGCAGCTTCTCAGAGGACAACAGAGGGTCAGATCTGCTTCCCACCCCTCAGCCCTAGGATCGGCAGCTTTTAATTCAGAAGCTTCCACTTAGTGCAATCACTCTTCTCATTCCTATAGAGAACAGTGATCTCTGATTTGCCTCCCAATACGACCTTGTCAGGCAGTGGTCTTTTGAAAAAACCTTTCCCTCGCCTTGCCTAAAGGTACTCTTCTTTCATGCAGTGGCTATTCTAAAGCACAAAGATTTGTTTTTTTAAATCAACTAAATAAAAAATCTAAAATGTAAAAAAGATTCATTGCAGGTATCTTACAAAAGCAGCCCTCCTTGACAGTATATTTGAAATGCACATGTTAATATGCGTAAGTCGAAACCTGACTGCAAAAGAAAATGTACCACAGCATCATTTTCTATCCTAATTATAGTCATGAATTTTGAAAATCACCTCCACAGAAACTTTATTTACAAACCCACAATTCTCTCCAAAACTGGCTGATGAGTGAGAGAGAGCCGACATATTTCAGTGACTCTGAATTCCAATGACACCTTTTACGCAAATAAAAATGACAGGCTGTGGGGAACAAGTATGACAGACAGAACATTTTACAAAGACAAAAAGAACAGTTACCCTTGTCTTCCTAAGCTCCATCTGACCTGCAGTAGATGCTGGACAGCACATGAAGACGCCAAAGTTTGACGGAAAAAGCCAAAGCAGCCAATGGTGGCAAACCTCAATCATTTCTAGAAGGAGCCCCCAGGTGCTCATCTTTCCTTCTCAGCCATTGCTCTCCAAGTTTCAAGGGCTAAGCCAGAGCCCTCAGCTCTTCACAGCATCCCTGCGGATGATTCTGAACATAGCAGGCACCTGGAAAACTTTTTGCAAACCCGGAATTCTGCCGAGCACCTCTCATGTCATTTCATGCACTTGCCAGCCTCAGACATCAGAAGCCTTCTTTGCAACAGACTCTCTCCAAGGGTTTTGGTCTTCACGTAGAAAAATTTAAAACTTGAAACAAAGAAAATTCAAAACAGTAACAGTACAGCCAAGAGTAACTTCGTGATTTCTCAAAGTAGTCAAAAACTTTTCTAAGACGGAAAATGAATCTTGGCTGCCAGGAACTCTCAGGCTTCTTAGCACGCTAAGCTGAACAGACAGCAGAAAAATCTCGGAACACTAGGAAGGCTCAGTTCCAAAATGAAACAGACGAATCTGCCAACCCGAGAGATGCTGCATAAAAAGATGTAAGTGCTGAAGGGAAAGGTCTGACTACCCTTCTCATGTCCCTTCAGGATGCTCCCTGTCCAGCGCCTGGCTCTGAGCATCCGTGCCCAGTGGAGGATGTAAAAAAAATTCTTTTTGACGTCAGAGCTGCACCACCAACCGGCACACTGAATCCACGCGTGCGCACGCACAGCCTCTTAAGCATCCCCTGAATTTCTCTAAACAGCTCTTGCTTGAGTCTGGAAATGCCAGGCTTGTGATCTACCTCTGGTGGCATAAACTGCATTGCAGCAAGTGAGGAGACAGGGAATTCTGGGGGCAGGGGGCAAGACTCCATCTCTGATAACCCTGCTTATCCCTCACAGCCCAGAGGCTCTGGGTCTCATTTTTATGGTGAAGGCTGCTTTGTGCAAAATTCTGTATCAGAATGGGGAAGTTGAAGGGCAGATACCAACTGGGTTCTCCTGCTTTAAAAAGGAGCAGGGAGCTCTGCACGCTTGGCAGGCGGCTGAATCCAGCTCTGTCCTACTTGCTGGGTCATTTCTTGTAAGGTTTTGCTGACTTTACTGCTTATTTCATGTGACCCAGTCCAGCAGGCATTACCTACACAGCTCGAAGATACACGTCTAGTGCCAACACTGGCCTCCCTGCAGCGAAGCACAGTGCTGCTACCCGAGATCATAACTAAAACTGCTCACCTAAGGCATGGCCCATTTGCAAGTGAACATCAGGCTGCTTGCTCTCTGGCAATCTGACATTCCCAAGTAACAAAAGACGGAACCAGAAACAACTGACATATGATCTAGTGCTATGCTCCAGCAATACAGGCAGGTGCAAGTTCCAAACATAACACTCATAGGTTACGGATCTATGGCAGGAGGCTTTATGCCTGAGCCACATAAGTGAAGTAAGTAAGAATTACAGTGTTCTCCTTGAGGGCTTCTGTGAGAACAGGAGATTTTAAAAAAATTCTTGGCCTAAGTTGATTTTTCTTTTCCATTTACTCAGCATTTAACTGCTGTCTAAAGAGAGCCCTCAGGGGAAATGTTTCCAGATTCCAGCTAAATAGCTCTAGGAACTAGCAAATGCAATACCATGGGCGCTTCACAGAGAGCTGAGAGAACAGGCCTGGCAGAGAGGCTGCCTCGTCCAACAACTCAAGCTGCTGACCAAGCTAGGCAGGGGTGAGATGTACCATTTTAGGTGCATACACTACCTCTACCACTTGATAAGAAAGCAAGTGAAAAGAAGGAGAGCGAGAGAAAGAAGGAAGGAAAGAGGGAAGGAAAGGGAGAGAGAGAGAAAGGAAGGCTGGGAAGGGAGAGTGGGAGAAAGAAAGAAAATACGGATAGGCAAGCATGCAGGCAATAAGTTCTGTGCAGGCAGAATTTTATGAATAATAATAGTTTTGCTTTATCTTTTCCAGACTTCATAACTTTTTTCTTTTCCTTATCTTACTGCACTGGCTAGGACCACTGGTACATTGTTGATTATAAGCTAAGCCAGGACAGTGGGTACACTGATCTAGTTTTTAACTCTAAAGTTATTGTTCTTAAGACTTCATTACTATGAATTGTATTTGCTGAGAGTGTGGGAGACACTTTTTATCAAGCAGAGAAAGTTTCCTTCTATTTCAGGTTTGCTGTGATTGATGGATTGATTTTTGTGAAGTTTGTTTCTGTTTTTGTTTTTCGGAGAGGGAGTCTCACTTGTTGTTCAGCCTGGCCTTGAACTTGATGTGTAGTGCAGGCTGGCCTTGATCTTGCAGTGCGCTCTCGCTTCAGCCACCTGAGTGCTGGGATTACAGGCATGTGCCACTGTGCCCAGCTTGCTGTGAATTTCTATCATGAACTGGTACTGGCTTTTTCTTTTTCAGTACTGGAAATGGAACCCAAGACCTTCATACTGAATTACACCTCCAGCTCTTTTTAAAATTTTTAATTTTAATTTTGAGATAGGGTCTTGTTAAATCAGTAGGTTGCCCAGCCCGAGCGAGCTCAAACTTGTGATCTTCCTGCCTCAGCCTCCTAGTGTGTTGCAATTACAGGTGTGTGTTACCATGTCTGGATTGGCATTGGTTTTGCCATTTGTTTTTTTCTTTATCTATTCAGAAAGTAGGGAAGGAAAAAAGTCAAAAGAAAGTAAAAGAAGGGAGAAGGGGGAGGAAGCAAAGAGAATGAAGATAGGAACAGAGGTCATGCTTTTTCATTAAAGGGACTGGTTCAATTTAAAATATCTTGCGTTGAATCACAAACAGAAAGGAATACAACACTTCATGTGACCTTTACCTATATGGTTTTTTTAAATTAATGGGTTGATATTCTTTCTCTAGGAAATACAATTCTTTTAATCTTTTCTTAAAGCAGATCATATATAAAGTGAGAAAATTCCTACCACACCAGTATAACCCAGTAAATATTTTTTATCCTTCTAAAAGCAGTTTCACTGAAATGGACATGGCCTATGGGGACCCCTTGGTAATTTTCTTTGCTCTTCCATTCTAAACTTGAGCTGGAAGTAGAAGGAAGAAGATCCACTGAGCCACAAACACGGCACAGCACAATGCTTAGTTGCTCTACAGCTGTCCAGGAGCAAGAGAAGGTGAGGCGAGATTGTGCCAGCAGTGCAATATTTTTGCCCACCAGGTGTGGAGTGAGAAAAAACAGTCTTTCCGATGTCTGGAAATACCGGGGAAACCTTGCAGGGCTCTGTCTGTGTCTGCTGGAAACTGCACTCACAGGGGTCGCCTCTAGTCCACCCAGGAACACTGTGGTGACTTCTATCATCTCCATGTGAAGAGGATTATGATTTCACTGCGACTGCAAAACTCTAGCAGAAATAATGACCTAATACTGGTTGCAGGAACTTGTCTCAGTGCTTGACACAAAATTTACTAGTTTACTCTTCCCAACATCTCTGTAAGTTAACTACTACGATGCTCTCATTTTCAAGATGAGGAAACTGTGGCATAGCATGATCAATTTATTTAGTCACTCAACCAAAAAAGAAAACTGATTTAAAGCAATGCAGGGCCGGGGATTTAGCTCAGTGGTTCTGCCACCTGCCTTGGAAGCGCAAGGGCCCAAGTTCGATCTCCGGTACCAAACAAGAAAGCAAGCAAGCAAGCAATGCAAGCTGACTCCAGAGCCCATGTGCTATACCAAGGCTTTGATTTTCTGCAAGGAGCCAAATATTTTAGACCCTGAGGGCTCTCCAGCCTCCGCTGTAACTACTCCTATCTCTGCTGGCAGTTGCAAATAGTATGTAAATGAATGAATATGGCTATGGTCCATTAAATCTCTATAGCCACGAAAACTCAAATTTCACATAGAGCAGTTTTCATGTAAAAAATATTATTCTTCCCTTTCAACAATTAAAAACTACAGACACTATTCTTAGCTTGCGGCACACAGGAAGTAAGCTGTGGTTGGCTGGTGGGCCGTAGTTTGCTGACCAGTCAGGTCACTGGTCAGTGATCCTCGCCTCAGCTCAGCTGTTCTACTCTGACACACCCAAACACAACACTCAGAGCGCCCACCCTCCCACGGGCACTCAGCCATCTTCAAGCTCCAGCAGAAGGCTTAAGCTCCAACTGCATATTCTTCCTATGGTTCGGCCAGCAGGGTCCTCCCCTGATGAGCAGGGGACATGTTTGACTTTATGTGAGTAAGCCCTGCCCTGTGACAGTTTATTCTCTCAAGTTTCTAATCAGTCCAAACATGAGACCAACCTTCCCTGATTGTTACTATGTATATATAAAGGATGTAAAAATGATTTGATGGCTGGGATCTACTTTAAAATAAAATGAGGTTGGGGTAAAGAGATATGGAGAAAACAAGACTGAGCATGGGTTGATAATCAAAACCGGATGTGGGACATGGGGGACTTAGAAAGCAATCCTGTCCATGGTAAAGGCAAAACTTTCCATTAATAAATAGTATATTTTGGCCATCGCTCAAGCACTGGGAAGGTAGGCCCGCCAGATCCACCACGGGAAGGAGAACCACGCCTGCTCCCGACCCAGCCACCATTGCTCAAGCGCCGGGAGGTAGGCCGGGCCCCGATCCACTGCAGGAAGGAGAACCACGCCTGCTCCCGACCCAGCAGTCATCGCTCAATCGCCGGGAAGGTAGCTGCGCGGGTGCCCCTGAACCCCCATAATCCCCCCCGCCCCCCCTGCACTCTCAGACCTCCTGACTGGGCAAGTCTTTGGACCCACTCTGCAAAGACAGAGGTGGTCATCAAGGGTATTTTTCTGAGTTCCCAACTTTGAACATCTTTAAAGAAAGGGCGTGGGAAACCTATAATAGAATGTTGCAGAGTTCAACCATTCAGAAGGATGGGGAACTCAATCTGGGCCTTGCAGCCCGAGGTCAGTCAGCGTCATGGGGTTCAGCAATCAGCTAACTGAGATCAGGGGTCTTGCATCCTCGCTCTGTCTGAGCCATTAAATGGTAAATATACTATATTGAAAAGTTTGTTCACTGCAGACATGTTCTGGACTGCTTCTTGATTTCAATTTAATTCAAATGATTTAAGGGTGATAGACTAGTGACTACCACAGGTGGTCAGTGTCCAAGTTGTGCTTGATCTTAATGTGTTGCTGATTGTATCAGTTGGGGTAAAGCATTGCCGTTGATTTGATGAGCTGTTTTCTCTGATGTTATGAAGATGAGAATGTCTGTGGGTCGTTAGAGACACAGAAGCTAGGGTGCAACTATATCAGGAAGATTTGGGTGATAATCCAGAGATTAAACCAAGGACAGTCCGACAACAAAAATTAAAATGAGAAAACACTTAAGCAAGACACAAGGACAGACTTCCAGTTCACCAATGGCAAACAGTAGGGCAAATGAGGATGAAAAGGCCGATAGTGAACCACCAGGACACCCTGAACTCAAAGCACAGGAAGTAACAAAACAGATCAATCAGGCTCTAGAAAAATTCAAAACAGAAATAATTTCCCAGATAACCATAGAGATAGTGAGCAAAATGGAAGTCGTGATTCGAGACTCTAGAGCAGAAACTGACAAAAAAATAGATGAGCTCAGGACCATGATAGAAGCCATGAAGGCCCAGCATAAGAAAGAAATGGA